ACAGTTTTTTAATCCACTCATCTGCTGATGGGCACTTAGGCTGTTTCTAAATCTTAGCTATGGTGAATTATGCCGCTATGAACATAGGGCACAATTTCTGATCCGTTGATATTCTTTATCTCTTGAGCACTTTCTTATTTTCTGGCCCTACAAGATGTTCTAGGTTCATTGTGATGATTAATTTATGTGTCAACTTGACTGGGCTACTGGGTACCCAGATATTTGGTCCCACATTCTTCTGGGTTTGTCTGTGAGGGTGTTTTTGGATGAGGTTAACATTTGAATCAGTAGACTAAGTAAAGCAGGTTGCTTTCCCTCAGGTGAGTGGCCCTCATCCAATCAGTTGAATACCTGAATGGATCAAAATGGCTAACCCTTCCTCATGTAAGAAGGAACCTCATACCTAATCACCTTGAGTTGGAATAGCAGTCTATGCTGCCTTCAGAATTGAACTGAAACATCAGCTCTTTTTGTGTATCACACCTGCTGGGTTTCAGACTGGAACATATACCATTTACTCTCCTGGTTCTCAGATCTTCAGACTGGGATTAGAACTATACCATCTGCTCTCCTGGGTCTCCCTCTTGATGACTGCATATCTTGGGATGTTTCAATTATTACATGAGCCAATTCCTTATAACAAATCTCTCTCACATTTTTCTGTTTAAACACACACACAAACTAAATTTTGTTTCTCTGAAGAAGCCTTACAAATACATTTACCCTGTGTTTTTCTTGCCACATTCCTTGGATCCACCATTTCTTTAGAGAGTCCTGGTTCTTGTAATTAGAGAATGGTATTTATAAGTCAAGATATGGGTACTGGGTATTGCTCCACTCTTTTATTTGCACAAAATACATAGTTTTGCTAAGCATTCTAAAATTTTGGAGGTATATATTGCTCTACTTTTTTTCAGTTTTTCAGTGTTAAAAAATATTTTTCTGTAAATCATTTAATAAACCTATAAACCTGTAAATTAAACTGTATTTCCCAAATATCAGGTGGATAAAGATGTAATGATTATTTTAAAGTTTTTTAAAAATAAAACTAAACTCTTAGAGATTTTCTTATGGTCCAAAATGTTTATCTATGACCTGTCCACTAAGGTAATTACAATATGACATCCTGAAAGTTTAAGCCCATGAAACTTTGACCAATATATAGACTGCCATTTTTAAAAGTAACCAAAATAATTTCAAGTAGGTAGTGAAAATATAAGGTGCTCTTATTTAAACTCAATTGATTGTAATCAATTCTATAGTCATTTTAATGCATGCATTGCTTTTTCAAATTAGTTTATCAAAACATGAAGCATAACACAGTAAGAGAGGTACATGCAATAAAACCCCCCAACAATTCTCTTATTATATGATGAAAAATATTGCCCTAACTTTTGTAGTTTTCCATCTATGAAGAAAAAATATTGTCATATATTACAATAGGTGGAACTTTGCAGAACACAGAGCCCAGCTTTTACATATCTATTTGGGGCAGTGGTTCTCAACCTTCCTAATGCCGCAACCCTTTAATACAGTTCCTCATGTTGTGGTGACCCCCAACCATAAAATTATTTTTGTTGCTACTTCATAACTGTAATTTTGCTACTGTTATGAATCATAATGTAAATATCTGATATGCAGGATGTATTTTCAGGGGTCGCGACCCACAGGTGAGCCACTGATTTGGGGGGAAACTGGGGTCAAGAACAAGGAAATGACAAGTTAAATGCCTATAACCAGACTAATATTTTTTCCAAATATTCACCTCTTTTTTTTATTATCCATCCCTATAAACAGCATTACAGTTTACCTAGTATTTCGCTCTAAATATCTCACAGTCAACCTACAATATATCAAATAATGGCATTTTAACCCTAATCTGGGCCCTCTCTATCTATGCTTTAGATTGAACCTTTACCATATTTTTCCAGGACTATTCAAAACATTCCAAGTTAGTCTTTATAACATAAATCGATTTCTATTCTGGTCTATTTCCTATGCAGTTTAACACAAAGTTACTTGTAAAAGTAAATTTCATTATGCCACTCTTTCCTATAACAAAACTTTACTGAATTCCTGTTGTAAATAGGATGGTATCCAAACTCTTCCAAAAGACATACAATCCAAGTCAAACTCTACTTCCCTATCTTTACTTTTTGCCATACTACACAGGGGGAGTTTACTTGTGATAGGATATTATAATTCTTCTGCCAGAAACATATAAATGAGATAGATTGTACACAAAATCACTAAACAGAAATGGAAAATGGGAGGTGATATATTTTACTTTAAAATTTTATTTTGTTTTTACTGAAGATTTTTTTATGTTGACATTATTGTAGAAGTCCCTTCCCCTTTAGCCTACATCTAACCTCCCCCACCTTCCCTTCCTTGGCCTTTACCAAATTATTGTCCATTTTCATGGGATATGCATATATATTCTTTAGCTATTTCCTTCACCTTCTTTATCCAGTCACCCCACATACCCAACTTCCCTTGGGCATGGGCCAGTCTATTCCATTTATTAATGCTTCTGTTTCCATTTTGTTTGTCAGTTTATTTTATTCATTAGATTCCACATATAAGTGAGATCATATGCTATCTGTCTTTTTCTGACTGGCTTATTTAGCTTAGCATTATACTCTCCAGGTATTTCCATGCTGTCTCAAAAGGTAAGAAATCTTTTTTTTACAGCTGCATAGTATTTCATTGTGTAAATGTACCACTCATCTGCTGATGGGCACTTGGGCTGTTTCCAGATCTTGGCTACTCTAAATAATGCTGCTATGAACATAGGGATTTATATATTCTTTCTGATTAGTGTTTCAAGATTCTAAGAATATATTCCCAGAAATGAAATTACTGTGTGAAAAGGCAGTTCCTTTTTTAACTTTTTTAGGAAACTCCATACTGTTTTCCACAGTGGCTGTACAAGTCTGCATTCTCACCAGAAGTGTACTAGGATTCTCTTTTCTCCACGTGTTTGCCAGCACTTGTTTGTTGATTTATTATTCTTTTTAAAACATATTTTATTGATTTCAGAGAGGAAGGGAGAGGGAGAGAAAGATAGAAACATCAATGATGAGAGAGAACCACCAGTTGGCCACCTCCTGCATACTCCCCACTGGGGACTAAGCCCACAACCAGGCATGTGCCCTGACCTGGAATTGAACTGTAACCTCCTGGTTCATAGGTCAATGGTTAATAGTAGTAATTATGGCAGGTGTGAGGTGATACCTCATTATAGTTTAGTTTTTATTTTCATATCTTTGATAATTAGTGACCTTGAGCATTTTTTCATATACCTATTGGCCATTTGTATGTTCTTTTTGGAAAAGTGTCTGTTTAGGTCCTTTGCCCATTTTCCTAAAATAATTCAAAATGGAACTACCTTTTTACCCAGCAATCCCACTTCTGGTAATATATCCTAAGAATTCCAAAACACCAATCAAAAAGAATATATACATCCCTATGTTCATAGAAGCATTATTTAAAATAGCCAAGATCTGGAAACAGCCCACATGTGCATCAGTAGATTAGTGGATAAAAAAGCTGTGGTACATTTACACAATGTAACACTATGTGGCTGTATAAAAGAAGAAAGTTTTATTCTTTGTGCCAGAATTAATCGACCTGCAGAATAAGCCAGTCGGAGAAAGACAGATACCATTGTGCAATCCAATTAAAATAATCTGAGGAACAAAATGGAACCAGAAGTATGAATACTTGGAATAGACTGAATGGTGCCCAAGTGGAGGGGGATGGGGGTGACTGGATAAAGAAGGTGAAGGAAATAGCTAAAGAATATATATGCATACCCCATGGACATGGAAAATAATTTAATAAAGGCCAAGGAAGGGAGAGTCAGGGGACAGTGGAGGTATGCAAAGTGAGGGGGAATCCTGCAATAATGTCAATATTTAAAAAAATAATAAAAAATTCAATTTGATGCCTTTTATTTATTTCTATTCCCTGATTGCTCTGGCTAAGATTTATAATACTGTGTTGAATAACAGTAGGGAGAGTAGACATCCTTGTCTTATTCCTGATAGAGGAAAAGCTTCCAGTTTTTCACCATTGAGTATGATATTATCTGAGGGTTTATAATACATGGCTTTTATTATGCTGAGGTACTTTCCTTCTAGATCCATTTTATTGAGTGTTTTAATAGTAAATGGATTTTGTATTTTGTCAAATCTCTTTTCTCCATCTATTGATATGATCATATGATTTTATTCTTTATTTTGTTAATGCAATATACATATGATATATCATAGAATTGTACACTTGAAACCTATATAATTTTTAAGTTGCATAATAATTTATAGAACTTAGTGAGGACCTCATGAGCATAAAAAAGAACCAGTTAGAAATGAAAGCAATACTAACTGAAATAAAGAATAATTAATTTACAGGGAATCAACATAGAATAGATGAGGCTGAGAAACAAATCAGCAATCCTATATAATAAAAGGGTGATATGCAAATTGACCCTAACAGCAGAACAACTGGGAATCACTGGTCACTATGACACACACTGACCACCAGGGGGCAGACACTCAATGCAGGAGCTGCCCCCTGGTGGTCAGTGTGCTCCCACAGGGGGAGCTCTGCTCAGCCACAAGCCAGGCTGATGGCTGCCAGTGCAGCAGTGGTGGTGGGAGCCTCTCCCGCCTCCTCAGCAGCGCTAAGGATGTCCGACTTTAGCTTAGGCCTGCTCCCTGCTGGCAAGTGGACATCCCCTGAGGGCTCCCAGGCTGCCAGAGGGATGTCTGACTGCCAGCTTAGGCCTTATCCCCCTGGGAGCGGGCCTAAGCCAGCAGGTGGACATCCCCCGAGGGGTCCCAGACTGTGAGAGGGCACAGGCGGGGCTGAGGGACCCCCCAAGTGCACAAATTTTTGTGCACCAGGCCTCTAGTTTGGAATATAAACAAATAAAAAACACGACTTCTGATTCTGGACAGATGCCAGGAGGAAGGGTCTCTCATTTGGGCTGCGAGATGGATTCAGGAACAGAAAACCAAGATCTCCTCATCCCCTCCATGCAAAGCCCCACTGACCAGCCTCCCCTCCAAAACAATTCCTTAGAAGAAAGAAGCTCAGATCTGGAGGAGAAACCACTAGAAGAAAAAGTCAAGACTTCTTCCCATTTAACAGAGACCAGCACCCAAAGAGGAGAAGCAGAAAGCTGCTTGAGTCAGGAGAGCTCCAGGAAGAGGAAAAGAGGCTCCAGTGACAGCCCCTGCGATAGAGCAGAGCCCTCTCTGGGAGAGGAGTGCAGTGTGGTTTTGGAGAAGAGAGGAAAGAGCCCTGATGTTGGCCACAGCAGCTGCAGCCAAGAGACTGGGCACGCCTGCCCCAGCAGAGCCCAGAGGAAGCGCCCTGGGCACAGGAAGCAGCCCAGATCCAGGCCCTTGGGAGTCCAGCCACCTGTGCTGCGGAAAAGCCTGGTAACTTCCCTGTGCACCATGTCTGAGGCCACTTATCACAACATCGTCCAGATGCAGCACCAGCAGGCTCCTGTCCCACTGAGCTGGGAGCACTATGCTCTGCTTGGGGGGCATTTGCATGCCCAGGTACAGACCATCTATACCATGGCCACCCAGGCCGCCTATGTCTTCCCTGCTGAGGAGTGACTCATCCCAGCCCCACTACCAGGGCCTTTGGGTCCAGAGTGAGATGGAGGAGAAGCCCAGAGCCCTTCCTAGGAGGGTGCCCTGGGAGCCTGTGCCTCTTCCCTGGGCAGGAGACGGCTGGAGCTGCCAGTGGATGGTTAGGGCTCAGCTGAGGGCACTGGGCCCCATTCAGCATATGCAGACGTAGGAGCCACAGCAGAGCTCTGCTCCTTCTGGATTCTCCCAGAGGACCAGCAGGGCCTCTTTGAGAGACACTATGTGACTAAGTGGTCAGAATTGTCTTCACAAAGCACTTTGAAAACCAAGACTCAGGTGGTGAATTCTGGGTTTCCCGGAGCACTATATTTCCAAAGTGTAAATTTCATCTTAGACACTTCATATATGTTGACTCTTCTAGGAGAGCCAAGCATTATTTGGAAATGAGAATAAATCTATAGGTTTAATGCTCATGATTGAATTCTGAAAAGGCTGTAACTCCTCCCTCTGTCACCTCCTCTGCTGGAAGACTGATATCTCAAGCCTTGAGGAGCCTTTATATTCTGTAGGAAAAATATTTCTACTTTTCTTTTTGATGGAATCCTGGTGAGATCACCATGTCCCTTTTGTTTCCCCGTGAGTTGCTGCATATTAAATGCTATTGGTCACATGTATTTATCTTTCAGCTGCCTGAGTTGATATGTCTCATTGTAAATTTCCTCCTATGTTATAGATATCATTGTATTCTATTTTATCAGAGGGAACTAAATCTAATAGTAAATACTATTACTTGCTTTAAAAAAAGTAAAAAACACCCAATCAAAAGAGCAAAACTAAAAAAATTTTAAAAAAATTAAGATAGTGATAGGAGCCTCTGGGATAACTTCAAGTGTACCAACATTCAATCTTGGGGGTGCTGGAAGGATACGAGAAAGAGCAAGAAATTGAAATTTTATCTGAAAAATAATGACAGAAAACATTCCTAACTTCTGAAGGGAGCAGACATACAAGACCAAGAAGTGCAGAGAGTCCCAAACAAGATGAACTCAAAGGGTCCAACACCAAGACACATTATAATTAAAATACAAAAGGTTAAAGGTAAAGAGAGAATCTTAAAAGCAGCAAGACAAAAGCAGTTAGTTACCTACAAGGGAGTTCCCATAAGACAGCTGATTTATCAACAGAAACTTTGTAGGCCAGAAGGGAGTGGCAAGAAATAGTCAAAGTGATAAAAAGCAAGGACCTACAACCAAAATACACTGCCCTGCAAAGCTATAACTTAGAATTGAAAGACAGATAGTTTCACAGACAAGAAAACGCTAAAGGAGTTTACCACAACCAAACCAATATTATATGAAATGTTAAAGGGTCTTATTTAAGAAGAAGAAAAATCAATAATATTAACAATAAATGGTAATAGATACATAGCTATCAACAATTGAATCTACAAACAAAACGAACAAGCAGAGCAGAAACAGATTCATAGATACAGAAAACTTTTTGTTGGTTGCCAGATAGGAGAGGGGTGAGGATGGGTGAAAAAGGTGAAGGCATTAAGAAGTACAAATTGGTTGCTATAGAATGGTTATGGGGACGTAAAGTACAACATAGGGTATAATTCTAATAACTAGGCATGATGCTGGAGGGTGTGGGATTTATTGGGATGATCACATATTAGGTTATGTGATTTCTGGTCACTGGGGTGTACAAAAATTTTAAATATAATTTCAAAAAAGAATTAAATGAGTCTGTCTCTATTTTGCTTGTTCATTTTGTTCAATAGATTCCAAATATGAGTGAAATCATATGGTAGGGGTTGTGAACATACAATACAGTGTACAAATGATGTGTTTTAGAATTGTGTACATGAAACCTGTATAATTTTGTTAACCAATGTCTTCCCAATAAGTTAAATAAAAAGGAAAAAGAAATAATTAAATGAGATAATAATTGTGTTGCCGAACCGGTTTGGCTCAGTGGATAGAGCGTCGGCCTGCGGACTGAAAGGTCCCAGGTTCGATTCCGGTCAAGGGCATGTACCTTGGTTGTGGGCACATCCCCAGTAGGGGGTGTGCAGGAGGCAGCTGATCGATGCTTCTCTCTCATCGATGTTTCTAACTCTCTATTTCTCTCCCTTCCTCTCTGTAAAAAATCAATAAAATATATTTTTAAAAAAATAAAAAATAATTGTGAAGTTCTTACTCCACAGTTGTTACTTAATAATTACTTAATAAATAGTACTTTATTTTATGATCAACTAAAATAGAGTTGTGCTAAAACTCCTTCCAATGGGTAAGTTTTGCCACCAAGAGAAGTATAAGAGCAGAAACTTTGAGTTTTTCATTTATTTAAAATACACTTTTTAAAATGTATTGAGAGAGAGAGAAAGAGAGAGAGAGATTTGTTATTCCACTTATGTATGCATTCGTTGGTTGATTAGTATATGTACCCTGACAGGGTATAGCTAACCTGCAACCTTGGCATATCGGGATGATACTCTATCAGCGTTACCTGGCCAGGGCCAAGGTTTTCATTTATTTGCCAAACATTTACTAAGCACTATTTTTTGCACTATAAATTGCTAGGAAATCTAAGAGACACAAAGATGTCCAAGACAGGGTCCCTATTTTCAGAGAGCATTCAGTTTAACATCATCACAAATTATAATGCAAGTTATGTAAGAAAAGAAAACATTACTATTGTCTCTCCCTCTACTTCTAGTCATCCTTCATGAGTTTCAATCTCTGTGTGCCTGTCTTTAATATCTCTTTCTTTCTTCCTAAGATTAGCCCTTTTACTCTCTCCCTCATTCCTTGCCTTGATGTTACCTTTCTTAAAATCATATCTTTACACTTAGTTATTCTTGTATCATAGTTTTTGTGTTAGTAGTCAACATGAGTTTAAATAAAAGTTGTATTCCGTAAATTATAGGTTCAAGTTGACATGTGTACAGTGGTCATGGGACTAGGTGCATAAACAAAGCTGAAGACGAAAAGAACATTAAAAGAGAGAAATTAGAACTGATCCACAGAGTGATGGTCAAAGAAGAGAAGGTCAGGGACATGTCTCTGAGTAAACAAAATAAGGATCTGTTCCCAATGGAGAAAGAGTCCAAGGGCAGGAAGATCAAATCAACAAGAAAATTGAGCAGGGTTGTGGGTAGTATAGTCCTATTAAATATTGAAAAGACATAGTAACATCTGGCAGGTAATATGAGATCTATTACATCAGTCATGAAATTCAACAGTTTTATCATGCATATATAAGTGTAATAGTCTAAATAAAACAATCTTCATTTGTTAAAATTAGCCTGAAATTTAATGACAATAGGAGCCTCGTTTATAATGAAAACATGATAATTAAACCTAATCCTGGTTCTGTTTTTGTTTTATTTTAGTTTTGCATTCGAAGTGGCCTTTTAAAAAAGACCGATTAAATTTCAGAAGCACTTTTTCATTAACAAAAGGCATGTCAGACACAAAGACACCAATTTCAAGGTAAATAAATTCCCCCCAAATAACAAAAAACACATCAACTATGAAAAGTGAAACTGCTTAGAATTTAAAACTATGTAACATCCATACATTCAATCATCAAATCTTAACATATCTCCCCCCTTTTTTGTAAGGTTCAAAACTCAACTGTACCATTTATTTTTGTTACCTTCAGAAAGTTACCTTCATGCACCCTCATAGTTTTCATCTGTAAATGGATATAATAATCATAATTTAAGTTCATAGAGTTGTTTTGGAAATAACAGAGTTAATACATGCAAAGTACTTTAGGGTACCTGACACATGTCAGCCTTTATTTATTTATTTATTTATTTATTTATCTTTATTGTTGAAAGTATTACATATGACCTCCTTTCCCCCCATTGCTCTCTCCTCTTCTCCCCTTCAGGCCTTCACCACCCTATTGTCTGTGTCTATGGGTTATGCATATATGAGTTCATTGATTGATCTCCCCCACAAACTCACACCCTCCCCTGCCTTCCCTCTGAGGTTTGACAGTCTATTCCCTTTTTATAATGTCTCTCATATCTGGTATTTTACTTCCATTTTTATAGCCATCATTCACCTTAGTAAGCCTCCTAGCTTATCTCCCTGTCTTTCATTCATCTTACATTCAGTTGGCAAAATAGTTGATCACAGATGCTTTTTTCATGTTAATAATAGCTAAATACTAAATACTTATTATGAGCCAGGTACTCTTTTAAGTGGTTTACATGTAACATTTCAATCTTCACAACAGTATAATATAATTACTGTTTTATTACTATTTTATAGAAGGTGAAACTGAAGTACAGAAAGGTTATGTAATTTGCTCAAGATAATACACTTCTTAGGCAAAACCAGGCTGTCCAATTCAAACATACATACTTTTTAGCCATTTTACCATGTGACAATGCCCAAAAATATGGTATTTCCTCCCATTTTATTGAATCTAAACTTTAATGTAAAAAATCCATAAACAAAAATGGCTGGAATGAACCTTGGGGTCTACCAATTCAGAGACTGCAAACTAGTATCTGACAGGCAGAATATGGTCTGCAGAAATATTTTATATGGCCTTCATGCTGTTTTAGTGTAAATCCTTTGTCACTAATTAAAAATTGAAAGATTTCACATAAAAATGGAATTGTTGGTTTTTCTAGAAAAAATAGAATATTGAATCTTCATAGCCACTGGGTCACAAAGAACTGTTGCTCAGTTATTTCTGACTGTGTAAACACGGCATAGATGCTTTAGTTACATAGGTCCCTACCTGTCCTTCACTCATTTAGCTACATGGTCCTTGTAGAAATGTTTATTTATGATTCACAGTTTGGTAGAACTCCAGATGGAGAATAGACACTTAGAGAGGGACACTGACTTACCCAGGTTTTGACTCCATATTCAAGACTCTACTTCAAAATATGTTTCTTTTTCTGTGTCTTTAAATAAGTTACTTTTCTTACTACCAATTCTCTATCAACATTTCTTTCAGTGTGCTTATTATTTCCTTGAAAACTGGCCTCAAAATTCACCCCCTGTACATAGTTTATCAAACTAATCCCACCGAAC